TGGGCCGGCGGCCCGCCGGAGGAGGGACAGCCCCAGCCCAGCCCTTCTCTCCCGAGAAAAGGGCAAGGTCCCTCCTGTACCTGCCAGGACCTCATCGTCCGCCAGCGGGCTGTAGGGCATTTCTCCGTGTGTGAAGACCTCCCACATTAGCACCCCGAAGGACCACACGTCCGACTTGGTGGAGAACTCATCCTCCAGCACGGCCTCAGGCGGCATCCAGCGCAGCGGGATCCAGGCCTGGCGGAAGTGGTAATACTCGCTGCGGGCAGGACAGGCGGGCAGTGAGACGGGCCTCCTCCCATCCCATCCTGCCCCCGCCAGGCTCCCGACTGACCTGTTATACACATCCTTACTGAGGCTCAGGGCTGAGACTTTGACCTGCCGCTGAGCGCTGATGAGGCAGTTCCTGGCTGCCAAGTCCCGGTGCACGAACCTGCCGTTGGAGAGATGCTCCATGCCCAGGGCCACCTGCGTGCAGAGAGACACCTGCCTCCCAGAGAGAGGTTGGGACTGGCCGCCCTCCCCATGCTGCCCCAGCCCCGCAGCATCACCACAGCTGCGCCCTCACCTTGTGCTTGGTGCTGAGGGGCTGCGGCTTCAGAGACTCGTCTTTGCTCTTGGAGATCCTCAGGAACTGCTTCAGGTCCCCCTGAGGAGACAGACGGCGATTCAGAGGCAGCATCCCCCGGCTGCCAGCTGCATCAGTACCCACCGGGCCCAGCCGCAGCAGGCCCACAAGGAGCACCGCACAGTCCCGGGCCACAGTCCTTGCTTGCCCTCCTGGCCCCTGCCCAGTCGGTCAAGCGGTATCTTGTCTCTGCGGCTTGAAGGGCTAAGAAGGAGGCCTGACGCTTCCAGGAGGTTTTTCATAGCCCAAGTGGATTTCTTTCCCCATAATCTCCAGGCTTTCCATAGGAGCTATAAGCATTTGCAGCAACGCTGTGGCAGGGAATCCCACAGCTTAAATTGTTCAGCTGAGTCCCAGAAAGCACCTAGCACTAAGGAGGGCAGGGTAGGGGAAGACATGCCTTCTGGGTCCTGCAGGAGACCTTCTTTCCCCTTGAGGCTCCTCTGTACGTTGGGAACAGCAGTAAGCTCAGCAGGGCCTCCCTTCACCTTGCTTGTCCCGTACCACCAGTGTGGACCACATCGTGTTTGTGCGGCTCCACATCTGCCATCCAACCAACCTTCCCTACCGCGGGCATCACTGGCAAGGCCCTTACCAGGTCCACGTACTCCAGCACCATATAGTGCGGCTCTGCCTCGCGGCACAGCCCCAGCAGCCGCACCACATTGGCGTGGTTCAGCTTGCCAAACATCTCTGCCTCACGCCGGAAGTCCAACTGCAGCTGCTCATCCCTGGTCTGCAGGCTCTTCACCAGCACCAGCGCCTCGTCCTCTCCATCCTCCACACCCTTCGCCTTGGCCAGGAAGACCTCACCGAACTCCCCCCTGCCTGCAAGCGGAGGGCAGCACGCGGGAGGACAGCAAGTGTTAGGACAGCATGTGTTCAGACAGCCTAGGACCCCTCCAAAGCCAGCAGCTGTGGGGCCCTCTCTATCCCAGCAGGTCCCATATTCTGGCTAGGACATGCTGGGGTTTCAGCTGCAGGTTTTTTGGCTGAGCCAAGACTTGGGGTGGGGGCCGGGGTGGCCTGGCGTACCAAGGGTAGTGATTGTCTGCAGGTTGGAGCGCGGGAAGTGCATCTTGTCAGCGGCACTATGTCGCTTGCTGGCTCCGGAGCTGCTGCCCAGGTTGGTCAAGGCCACTTCTTCCTGGATCTCATCTGTTGTCTGCCCATTCTGCAGGAAAGCACCGCCTGCAAGGCAAACACGCGTGCCTACAGCATGCCAGCAGGCTGCATGGCGCACGTCACAGTGGGGATCAGCCCATTGCGGAGAGCAGCAATCCAGGGCTGATACTCCAAGCACGCACGACTAGCTCCAAGCACCCCAGCCTGACTTGCAGTCCTGGAAAACGTGGTGCCCTCCGCACAGTCGCTCTTTCCAGCCTCGAGCGAGGCCCTGGTCCCATCTCTGCCAGCCCCGTGGCCACCCCTGCAATCAGATGCTGAGCAATAGCTTTGGTCCCAGAGCCAACTGGCCCCATCCATCCCATTGCACTGAGACGTCCGTCCCAAAGAAAACAGGTGGCCACACCCAAACTGCCCACTGACAAGAGTCTGCAGAACAGCAGTAGGAGATCAGAAGGGTGAGGTGAAGAGATGGCAGAGGACCCTGCTTGCTAAAACTTGTTCTTTCGATGTCCAAGAGACTCCCAGGTCCATTTGGCACCAGCTGCTACAGCCTGCCCTCTGCTCCTGCTCCCTTCCCCGCAAGCCTGCAACGCAGATGTCTTTGGTAATCTTGAACCTGTCAGATCAGATCAGCCTGGAGTTTCTTTTACTGCCTGGATTAGAGCAGTGCTTGGAAGTAGCGTCCTTGCAATTCACCCCAGCAAGCTTTCTGCTTAGGAACTCCACTAGAAGCTTTCCCAGCACATACAGAAGCCAGCGAACAGGACTAAACCTCGTTGCCTTAAGAAAACGGAGTGCCCTGCGTTTTACAGCTGGATTGCACTGGAAAGATTTCTGTATAGAAAGCAAACCCTGATTTTGAGCGTGTTTACTGCTTAGATCAGACCAAGCACTAGAAAATGCTGCTTTCCATGAGCTGAAGGCAGGAGTTTGAACGTAAGGCGGGACAAAACACTGAGCGAAGGTGGCTGACATGTTCTGCATCACCCTGCATTACTGTGCGCACTCCATTTCAGCTAGTCCAGGAGCAAGCACCGAGGAAACATCTGGCTGTGCAAAAGGGTTTGATCACCGAATTAAGACTCCATCCGTCATGCCACCACTCCAACAGGAACTGCAATGCCCGTGATTTCTGTCAAGGGATATTGTACAGCAATGTACTAGCCCTCCAGTACATCCTCAGCGGGTCTAGCCATGGTGCCGGGGACTGTGGCTTTGCGACGGGTAGGCTTGGAGCTGTGAAGATTGAGGTGTGATGATTTAAAAGCTGTGGCTATTGACAACTGTCCTCTCTCACACAATGGAGTAGTATTTGCAGAAGACCATGGTGAAAAACACCATCTACCCTATAAATCAATGCTTGATTTCCACTCTCCCTGTTTTTATGCTAATTATGAGCAGCCTAGCACTTAAGACTGTTTGACCCTGTGCTGTCTGCAGTCATATCTGATGGTGTCTCAAGACTACAAACTTAAAGCCAAGAGGATAATATGAGAAGACTGCTGCAACTGTGCCAAGAAAACAGCAGAGGCTGCAGAGCGAGCACTCTGCCACTGAGGGGTGACACCAGCGAGCAGCAGCAACAGGCAAACTCGCTTTTGAGCACAGACATCACCAAGTTTCGCAGAACTTTGATGAGACAGTCAATAACAAAGGGACCTCGATGAAGGGAAATGCAGAGATGAGCGAGAAGAGTTTCATCTATACATAAAACAGGAACCAAGCAGACAGGAGTGTCTGTTTTGTCCCACTTGCCTGCAACACCTGAGCATCTCCAGGAGAAAAAGCCACAGCCACGCTGCCCCACAAAAACCAGCATATGCCAACAAAGAAGTCAAATGCTTCAGTCGGTGCCCAGAGCTACTAACCTTCCTGAATGCCATGGCTGCGACAACTGAAAAGAGCAGCGCGGTCCGAGGGACACCGAGGGCAAGCGGCCACATTACAGAGGATGCAGCACATCAAGGACGTGGCCTCAAAAGACAACTGACTTGTTAGGAGCGCACTAACTCTGCCTATCCGTAGGAAGGGCAAACCTGTCTGGGTCCTGTGTGCGCTGGAGAAATCAGCTGGTGGCCATCCAGGGAAAATTGTCGTTTTTGGGCAGGTGCTGGGATATTTCAGGTCACTCAGCTAAAGGGAGACCACATCAAAACGAGGAAAACAGTCAAATCTTTGGAGAACGTTTGGAGGTCACCCCCCTGGAGCTGAGACCAAACACACCGCTTCTCCAGAGAGGCTATGGAAGGACCAAAAAGGAGTGCAGACATCTGGGCAGCCAGGCAAGGGTTGCGAACAGCAAGGATGCATCTCATGCAGCTAAACTGTCTCCAAACGAAGGGAATAAGAAGAGGCAAACTCTGGCAGAATACAAAGAAAAACATAATAAAGACAGGCCAAAATACAAATTCTGAGAGACAACCTGAAACAGGATTAAACCAAATCCGTTCCCCAAGAAGACAGCGCTGGCCAGAGCCTGCGGGCAGAGGTGGCCGGGGGAAAAGCGCACAGAGGCGACAGCAGCAGCGTGCAAAACTGCAGAGATGCTCCTGCATCCCCTCTCCCAGGAGATGCCCACAGCCAGACTTCCCTTCAGGCAGTTTAGCTCTGCTCAAAGTATCAAGACAAGAGGAAAGACAGGAGACAAACCCAGCAGCGGTGTTTTGCCAGGACCTCACAGCATCCCCCGCGAGATCAGCACGTGGCTGCGTGCTGCAGAACCAGGAGCAGGGACGCACCGTGCTGCATTTATAGCCGTGTGGATCCAGGGAACCGCGAGGGCAGTGAACTCAATGTCTGCACCCCACAGAACTAAAGAAGCCCTAACTGGGATCAGCGAGGCAAGGACAAACGTGACATCAGGAGGAGGAGCTGCAACAGCTTTTAGAAAAGAAAACGACACCGTAAGAGTCTCTTGGGTGTACTGAAGGAGTCATGAGTTCGTGGACAAAGGGGACAGAGCTGAAGCTATTTGAATTTCTAGAAAGGATTTTGCAGAGTGTCATGAAAACCAGCAGCTCAGCTGCCATGGGACAGGAGGGAACACGGTCTGATGGACACAGTGAAGGCAGCATTCAAAGGGTAGAAATACAACATGCTGCCCACATCGAAAAGGCGCTGGCTGGCACATGTTTGCAAAAGCAAACAACTTAGCTGGCAGCAAAAGCATGGGACAGCTGTGGCCAGCTGCAGAGGGAGAGCGAGCGCCAGGAGATGTAGCCACAGATGTAACACGACACCCAGGGAAAGCAACCTCCATGTCCCATCCACAGCGATGAGCCCAGCCTGCAGCTGCCTGCTGGCTCCCAGGAGCAAGCTCTGGGGACAGGGGGCTGAAGCAGTGGCAGAGGACAGAGCGCAGCCGTGTCACTCTGCAAAGCTGCGGCCGAGTCCAGGCTGGGGCGCCCCATCTCAGAAAGGCAACAGTGCAACTGGAAAAGGCACGTGCAGGAGCGATCGTACAAATGGAAAAGCTGTCTCTTACAGCACGAGAAGCGGTGCTAGATAGCAAGTTTGAAAGGCAAAGAGAAAGAGATGGTTTTTTAGGCAACCTATTGCTGCAAAACTCCTTGTTGGAGGATGCTGTAGATGCTCAATGCTTAAATGGGCTTCCGAGATAAGAGGGTAAGTTCACAGCAGAGTCCAGGGACACTCAGTGAAGTCTAACTGTGGTTTGGAGAGGCTGGCAGAGGCTGGCTGCTACTGTTCCATTACACCGCAATAGGGACATTCCCCTTCCCTTGGCAAAGAGCATACGTGACGCCACACATCAGCGCTGGAAAGCAGGAGCAATAGTCATATCTCGGCACACAGGAAGGGCCATGACATAGGGTTGGGATGCAGGTTTTACACCAACTCACTGGGCATGCTCTTCTTGGCCATTTCTTGCCCAAGAGCAGGTCTCCGTCACAAGCCAAGGCCAAAACCAAGAGCAAGAGACCTGGGGTGGAATAAGGAGGAGCCCCCTGCCCCCAAAAGCTCACTGCACGCCCCCAACCCCTCCAGCCCAGAGGTGGGGGCCAGCAGGGAAGTACCCACCTCTGGGTGCTCAGACCTTACCGTTCAGACACTCCATTTCGGGCTCCTCGCCCTCTGGGTGCTTCTTCAGCCGCTTGGCTTTCCTCCGCTTCTTGCAGTAGAACATCAGCCCCAGGACAATGATAATGTAGGCAACAGCCGCCCCCACCGAAAGTCCAATGGTCTGGATCATTTTGTAGGGTGTGTGGCTGCCGAGCCCCTCATCCTCTTCCACTGCTGGCTTGTCTGGGGGGGCAGAGAGCCAAAGCCATGAGGGTGGGGAGCAACGGGCCAAACCCTGCATGAGAATTTGCTGGTGGGGAAGGAAAAGCCCCCCTGCTGCTGTGCTGGCCTCCTGGTCCTGCTGAAGGGTGCTCGACATAGCCTCCAGCATCCCGTGCTGCATCCCGATAGGGATGGACGGCACCGTGTCCGGGCCAGCAGCGGGGCCAGAGATGCCTAGGATGCTGAAAGGCTGTGTCCTGACGTTGGGTGCCTCCCTTACCTACAACATAGAGGAAGGCCTCGCGGTGCTTGATGTTGCAGCTGTTGCCAGCGATGCAAGTGTATTTTCCTGAGTCCTCGGTGGTGACGTCGTAAATCACCAGGGAGCCGTTGGGCATGATCTGAATCCTGCCAAACACGCAAACCATGCCCTTTGCAAGCATGAGAGGGCAGAGAAAGGCTCGAGACCCCTCCAACCCCATCACCTTGCGGTGTGACAGCCTTAGCCCCACATCCATCTTGAACCTAAGGCTGCGCCTGAGCCCTGCAGCTCTTGCGACCAAGCCATTGCAGCTTGGCAGGCTGTGGCGGGGAGCTAACCCTTGGGGCTGGGGAGCCCAGAAACAACTGACTGGGTGACCCTGCCCAGCTGGGAAGGCCAGACCCTTCTGCCAGCACAGGCATGCTGGGTTGGCCTGGGAGCGCTGCAGTGCGGCATAGCCCACCTTCGGTTTGGGACGCGGGCTGCATACCTGGGCAGGAGCTTGCCGGGATCCAAAATCTTGTCCTTCCCTTTCCATTGGATGTGCGGCATGGGGTCGCCCTCTGCCTGGCACTGGAACATGGCTGTGTGCCCCTGGTACACCGTCGTGGGCTCTGGCTCTAGCTTGAAGGTGACGTAAACTGAAGGCAGAGAGGCCAGCGTGAGCCCATGGGACGGCTTCCCTCGCACAAGGGAGTGAGGCCAGCACTGGCACCACGGCACGTGTCCTCTTGAGCTATTTGCAAGGCACTGACAAAACGGATATCCAAGCGCCACAAGGCAGGGCTGGGTGTCAGGACAGACACCTCTCTCTCTGCAGGGATGCGCCTGCTGGGTGCTACCCAGGCAACCCTGCTGCCAGGCCAGTGGAGCAGCCAACTCAGCTGCCTGCCCCAAGCCCTCACCTGCTACCACAAGCTGCACGGTGGCCCGGATCTCGCCCTGTGGGCTGTTGGAGGCGATGCATGTGTAGTTCCCTGAGTCACTCCGGCTCACCTTGTGGAAGGACAAGATGCCAGCGTTGTGGCTGACATGGGACGGCAAGCTGCTCCCATCTATGGGACGGCAAGAAGAGGGATGCAGCAGTCACGCACGTGGCACCAAGCTGCACACCAGCTCCCTGGCCCACCAAAGCACTGCTGCTTCACCCATGCTGGAGGCAGGCCAATGCAAAGCTCCGGTGGGCCACACTGGAGATGGACATGTCCCATCCAAGTCCTCCTCACCTGTTTTAGTCCACTGGATGGTGGGCTTTTCCCGGCCAGTGGCCGAGCAGGACACTGTAACCTCCTTATCAAACTCCATGCACTGCAGCGGCTGGGGCGGGGGGGTGAACTTCAGCTTCTCTGCAAGAGACACAGGTGCCGTCAGGCCTCCCAACACCAAACCTGGGGATGTCACACTTGTCCCCTGCCAGGCAAGAGAGCTCTCGCCAGCATACCTAGCACATGCACCCGTGCGTATCCCTCGATGCTGCCTGCTGGCGTGCTGCTCACGCACTTGTATATCGTCCCGTCATACACCTCCACGTTGTTGATGCGCAGTGTCCCATTCTCAGAGATCTCAAAGCGCGAGTCCTGTCCCGAAAGGGGGGAGGGAGGCAGAAACACCACTGTCATCAGCCCTGGACTCATTGCTGCCTCTCCAGGGCTTTGTCTTGCCATGCTCCAGGTGGGCACAGCCCTGCTGAGACCCAGAGAGCTGAGGCAGGCTGCTCCATCTTTTCTCTCCTCCCCAAAAAGCCCTGGGCTGGCAGCGAGCCAAGCAGCCAGAGGTGACCAGTCACACACCCACACACCAGGAGGATGGGGACAGTGCCAGGAGCGTGGCCAGGGTGTAGGTAACAGGGCAATGCCAGGCCCGGGAACAGCGGTGGAGGAGGATGGAGCCAAAGAGCTGCCTTGCAGAAGTTCCCGCGAGCGGCAGGGACTCATCCTGCCACCTCACCTCAGAGATGGAGACGCCATTGCGGTACCAGGTGACGGTGGGTTTCAGGGAGGCCTTGCTGAGGCAGTGCAGGTATCCTGGCTTGCTCTCCTCCAGCTGGCTGTCCTTGGGCATCTCCACCCACTTGGGCACCGCTGGGCATAGAGGCAAGGGGTTACATAGGGCCACTCACCGCCCCGCTGGCCAGCGCTGGCGTGGCCCAGACTGGTGTCCCTGGCCAGCCGTGGGGGCTGTGCTTCTCTGCACCCAGGAGGTGACGCATCGTCCCTCGCCAGCTCACCCCAGCTCCCTCTCCAGCCCCTTCCCCTGCTCCCAGCTCTTCTCCAAAAGCTGCCTACTGGCCACGGTGATGCTCAGCTCCTGCTTCTTCTCTCCAGCCTTGTTGGCAGCATGGCACGTGTAGATCCCTGCATCCGTCTCGGTGATAGTAGTGAAGACAAGCTGCTCTGCCTCTTGGTACACCCTGCCAGTGGTAGGAACCTGCTCCTGGTCCCGCTCCCACCAGACCTGGGGTGGGGGTACGCCCCGGGGGGCAACGCAGGCCACACGATGCCCCTGGTTGGCCGTGAACACCTTCGGGGAGAAGGGTGCCATGTCTTCGATCTCTGAGAGGAGCAACAGACAGTAGGGCTCAAAGAGAGCAAGAGTGTGCGGCTGCCTCCTGGCATCACCATCCCCACGGGAGGCACCAGCCAAGGGAGGGCACACCTAAGCTACCTTTGCACAACTTCATCTGGGTAGTAAAGGTGAGCCACTTCACAGATAAACCAAGTGCTTTTCTACATACCAACCCACTGCTACATCCTTGCGTAACTCATAGCAATGCTGCAAGCCTGGGACCCGCTGCCCACCCTGACGCCAGCCCTGAGACCTCACCTGCCAGCCGCAGAGTTGCTTCCAGGACAGCAGGTTTCCCCCTCTGCCCACGGCCAACACACTTGTAGACCCCAGTGCTGCGAGCCCTCACCTGGGTGATTAGCAGGGAGCCGTTGGCGAACACGATGGTCCTGGGCATGCAGGGAGAGACAGGGCACAGTTGGGCACCTCAGCGGGACATGGGGCAGAGCCGTGGCCCTGCAATGTCCTGCACAAGCCCATGGAGTGAACAGGGAGACCTTTGTGCCAAGCCAAAGCTCCCTGAGGTGGGGAGCAGCACGTGCTGACAAGGAGATGGTGGGACGCATGCTTCATCAAGGAGACAAGCTAAGAGAAGTATCTTCCCTGGAGCAGAGCGGGCTTCCCTGGAAACACGCACCCCAAAGCGGGCCAGCTCCAAGAGCCAGTACAAGGGGAAGAGGGCGCAAGGTGGCGCCTGGGAGCTGCCAGGCCACTGGGCATCCTGTGCCCAGATGGCACGGCTCACCTTGTGCAGTCTGGCTTGGTGATATCCTGTTGCTGGGAATCACCCGGCACAGTCCAGCTATGAGACATCCCTGGCTGCAGGGATCAGCATGTGCGGGGGATCTGGGCTGGGAGACGTCCCCGGCTGTGGGGATCACCTTGTGCATGGGCACCTGGGGCTGAGAAACGTCCCTGGCTGCAGGGATTGCCATGGGCAAGCATCTGGAGCTGCAAGACAGTCAAAGGCTCAGAGGTCGCTGTGTGGGCATCTGGGGCTGGGAAGTGTCCCTGGCTCCGGGAATTGCCCTAGTGGGTGTCCAGGGCTGGAAATGTCCCTGGCTCCACAAATCGTCACGCACAGACATCTGGGGCTTGGAGATGTGCCCAGTTCTGGGGATCACCACGCGCAGGCACGCAGGGCTGACAGCCCCTCACATACATTAGAGGACAATCTGCTTCCTAAGCTCTGTGCAGATGCAAGCCATGTACAAACATCAAGGCCCTGCTAACCCCACCCCAGCTGAGCTGAGAAACTGGCCCCATCAGTAGAGGCCAGCCTGGTGTTGAATGCCTGCCCTTGGGTGACCCTTTGGCCCTTCTCCGTTGCTTCCGAGCCGTGGGGGCCCTCTCTCCTCCCTTGTCTTGCTCTGCACCACCAGGGCCCCCCGTTACCTGGACCTGTTGGTGATGGGGGTGTCTTCAAAGAGCCACTCCTGTGTGGGAGGGGGCACAGCCGCAAACTGGCAGTCGAACATGGCCTCTTCGTTCTTGGTCACAATGAGGTCCTGTGGGATGATCACTGGCTGGGGGAAGCTCTCATCTGCAACGTCAGAGACCGAAGGAGAGTGAGGAGAGGAGAGCAGCCTGTGGGGTCCCTTCATTGGCGCACCAGGAGAAACCCAAAGAGGAGCTAGGAGCACCCTGCAAGGACACTCATCCCCAAAGCAGGCAGACACACCGCCACAGCTGTAGTCACACAGCTGGGAGCACATGCAGAGGCTGCTGTGGGGAAAGCCCCATCCACTTCCAGGGAGCCCCTGAGCACCCTGAGCTCATGGCAAACAGGTCCGACCCCGCCACCTGACCACAAATCCCCTTGTTCAGGTCCGGATACCTCCCTAAGGCAAATAACCCCCTTCCAGCTGCAGCCCAGGCCTTGCCTCCAAAGGCCAACAAGGTGTCTCACCCTGCAAGGCATCACAGCAGCACCGATATTACCAAAACCAGCAGCATCTACAGGCTCCAGGGTCCAAACCTGGTTAAAGGAGGGAGGACCCAGAGACAACAGCATCGACCTGCTCCAGAAAGATGCAGGGACAAATTAAGGCTGGTAGACAGGAGTGAATTCGAACCTAGCCAGCGTGCTGGACCTGTCTCCAGCAAGAGGTTTCTCACAGCGGAAGTCACACCAGCCTGACGCTTCTGTTCCAGTCTGTGGCAGCAACCAGGGAGCAAAGGGGAGGCTGTTGGCCAGGCAGTAAAACAGCCAAGGCTCAGACCGGGGCTGCTGGGAGCCACTCACCGATAATATTCAGCGTGAAGTTGTCGCGGCTGCACACGAACCCAATGGCGCTGCGGGCACAGCAGTAGTACAGCCCGTTGTCGTTGGGGCTGGCGCTGCGGAGGGTCAGCGTTCGCTCCTTGTTGCTGATGGCATAGGCGTCATGGTCGTCGGAGATGGGGACGCCGTCCCAGAACCACTGCCACGTGGGGCTATGAGACAGGCACGAGAGGGTGACCAGGGTGCACAGCTCGCCAGGGAGTGCATGTGCAGAGGACACAGCCCGGAGATGGCCCCTTTCCCTGGCTCTCCGTCCCCACTGCTGGCCCCGGCACGCACACAAAGCCATGAGACATGCAGCCAAGGAGATGGCACATGATCGGAAAGCGACGGAGAGTGACTGCAGCACATCAAGCAGTTCAGCGACTGGCCCGCGAGAGCCCGTCCTTACTGTGCTTCCGAGGAAGCCGTTTGCCTTCTCCCTTGGTGCTCAGCCACAGTCTCAATCCTGCCTTTCTCCTTCCCTAGACTTTACTGCATCCTCGCAGGAGAGAGAAGGAAAGAGAGAGAAAGAGGAAGGGGAAGAGCGCGCAGCAAAGGCGCAGGGGACCCCAGCAGAACCCACTCCTAGGGAGGCAACCCTTACCGTGGGTGGCCGTCAATGTGACATCGCAGCACCACCGTGGAAGAGGGCTGGATCTCAGCCTCGCTGGCCGGCTGTTTCAGCAGCACGCTGCCTGTCTCCAGCCCTGCGGGGTCAAAGGGAGGATCACCATGGCTGGTTCTCCATACAACTTGGTAACATCCAGAGCAAGCAGTATGGGAACAGAAAGGCTCAGAGATGTGAAACCCCCTCAAGCCAGCATCAGTCCATGGCATGGGGATGCCCACCCTGTAAACGTCCCACCCTGGCCTGCATGGTTGTTGTCTAATGGATGAGATGGGCTCCAAAGAAGTCTGCAATGCTGAGGACGTGCTTAGCGCAGTAACATCCTCACATATATGGGTCCAATCCTGTTTAACATCTTCATCAATGACCTGGATGAAGGGACAGAGTCCATCCTCAGCAAGGTTGCTGATGATCCAAAACTGGGAAGAGCGACTGGTACACCAGAGGGCTGTGCTGCCATTCAGAGGGCCCTCGACAGGCTGGAGAAATGGGCAGAGAGGAACCTCATGAAGTTCAGCAAAGGCAAGTGCAGAGTCCTGCACCTGGTGAGAAATAGCCCCAGGCACCAGTACAGGCTGGTTCCCTATAAATGAACAAGAAAAGCGCCTGAACACAGTGGGAGGGAGCATCACTGAATCACAGAACGGTTGGGAGTGGAAGGCACCTCTGCAGATCATCTAGTCCAACTCCCCTGCTCAAGCACGGTCACCTACAGCACGTTGCCCAGGACCGTGTCCAGATGGCTTTTGAATATCTCCGAGGATGAAGACCTCACAACCTCTCTGGGCAACCTGTTCCAGGGCTCTGTCACCCTCACAATAAACAAAATTTTTCCCTAGATTAGGACAGAACTATCTCTGTTTCAGATTGCGCCTCTTATACTATCGCTGGGCACCACTGAAAAGAGTCCAGCTCTGTCTGCTTTACGCCCTCCCTTCAGATACTTATACCCATTTATGAGATCTCCCCTCAGCCTTCTCTTCCTCCAGGCTGAACAGGCCCAGCTCCCTCAGCCTTTCCTCATAGGACAGATGCTCCAGTCCCTTCCTCCTCTTAGTAACCCTTCGCTGGACTTGCTCCAGCAGCTCCAAGTCTCTCTTACATTGGGGAGCCCAGAACTGGACACAGTACTCCAGGAGTGACCTCCCCAGGGCTGAGGAGAGGGGCAGGATCACCTCCCTCCACCTGCTGGCAACCACTCCTCCTAACGCACCCCAGGATCCCATTGGCCTTCTTGGCCACAAGGGCACATTGTCGGCTCATGGTCCACTTGCTGTTCACCAAGACGCCCAGGTCCTTTTCTGCAGAGCTGCTTTCCAGCAGGTCAACCCCCACCCTAGACTGGTGCCTGGGGTTATTCTTCCCTAGATGCAGGACCCTGCACTTGCCTTTGTTGAACTTCATGAGGTTCCTCTCTGCCCATTTCTCCAGCCTGTCGAGGGCCCTCTGAATGGCAGCACAGCCCTCCGGTGTACCAGTCACTCTTCCCAGTTTTGGATCGTCAGCAACCTTGCTGAGGGTGGACTCTGTCCTTTCATCCAGGTCACTGATGGATAAGTTGAACAGGATTGGCCCCAGTATTGATCCCTGGGGGACACTCCAACCAGACTTTGTGCCACTGATCACAACATCCCAAGCTTGGCCATTCAGCCAGTTTTCAATCTGACAGCCTTTGGGACATCGGAGGATACAAGGGGCCTAAAGGGCATGATGGACGTGGGAGCTGCAGAGGATGCCTCCCCGCACAGCCTGTGCTTCCTCATCCTTAACTGACCACCATCCCCTGGCAAAGCCATGGAAATGGCATGTTCTCGGTCCCAGGCCCTCCTGAGAGGGCACCGTGCCCTGTCAGAGGCCAGCAGTGCTGGGTTGCAGCATGTGCCTGGTCCCCCTTGCCCCAGACTCACACTTGATGTTGAAGGATGCGTTGGCTGTGCGGGCTTCCTCCCCAGTGAGCACGTTCCTTGCCACGCACTGGAAGTCCCCCGCGTCCCGGTGGCGGTCAATGGCAATGAACTGGAGGTTGCTGCCTTCTTTGAAGCGCCTCTCTGTGTCCTGGACGGGGAGCCCATTCTGCAGCCATTCGAAGGCCACGTTTGCCGGCTCAGCCACCTCACAGCGGAGGATGGCGCTGCGGCCGTGCAGGGCGTCCTGGGAGTATGGCTCCTTGGTGAAAAGGATCGTCGCCTGAGTCCCCACCGCTGTAAGGAGAAGGAGGGCAGGTGAGAGCCTGGTGACAGCGAGAAGAGGGTAGGTGAGCAACACCAATCACAACACTCCACATACAGCCACTATCACCGGAGCAGGGGTGCCCAAGCCCCGAGCAGAGCAGCCAACGCTGTGCTAGGCGTTTCTCAGTGTAGCCACCGAGGGACCACACTAACGTATTCCCAAATCTGCCTGCAGCCAGCTGTGCAGGCACTCGACTCCGGTTACCAGCTGGTGACGGAAAGGGAAGCAGAGAAAGGGCAATTCAGCGCACGCCGATCCGTCCTGGATCCCGTTCCCGGCACCGTGCTCTCGCGGGGAAAGAGGCCAAGCCAGGCAGATGTCAAGCATCTTTGAAACAATTATCACAGCAGCGAACAAGAAAGCGGGTGAAACGGTGCACTCTCACTGCCACGAGGAAAGTGGCTTTGGGAAGGGATTGCCTGGACGAATTACATGAGCAAGATCCAAGCCCAGCTGCCAGCACAGCTCCTTTCTAGGGGCTCAGCCACAATCCCTTGTTCAGTCTTCACGTAAAAGCCTGGTAAAGGGATACAATTCAACAGTGTGTCTCAGGCTGCAAAGCAGCAGCCCTGAGCTAAGGGTAAGAGATCCTGTTGTGAAGGAGATGATAGAAGTGGACCTCTGTATCTCTGCATTTTGGAAAGCCTCAAGAGCCCTTTCCATGCTGGAAAGCCTCTGGAAAGCTAGAAAGCAGCACAAGAGCCAAGCAAAGCCTCTCCAGACTGCGGCCACCCGCAGGCACCCCAGCACCAGCGTGGACTGTGGGTCCAATTCCCATTTTCAGTCACCCCAAAGAAGTGGAAAGGAAGAGCAAGAAACTGGGAGGTCATGCGGACTGGCAGTGTAGGACAACATACCAAAGGGTCTAGGACACAGTACTCCTTGCAGTCTGGCTGTTCACCATCAACTCCCAGTTGTGCCACTAACCTCGGTATGCATGCAAGGTCCCCAGGGACTTTCCCCAGCCAGGCTGGGCACCACAGCCCCTGGCTCCCCAGGGTCCCAGCTCCCCGTGCTTCCAGGGTCAGGGAGTTCAACGAAGTTAGTTTCCACTGTCAGCTGTCATGCATCTCCTGAAGAGATAAGAGCTGTACCTCAATCCACAACAGCTGTCTCATAAACCCCACGAGCAGCATCCGCATCCCAAGGCCACGTGGCCAGTGGGAACATGTGCTCTTACGTACGTACATGCACACCTGTAGTTCCCAACATATCACATCCATTTCACCAAGAGCACTTGGAAGGGCAGCGACTACCTGACCACGTGTAAATACAGTCACACACTCCGCAGCATGACAGCCCTGGAGGGTCACAAGCTGAGCTCGTGCCAAAATGGGTGGCCGAGATGGCCAGCCAGAAACAAAGGGGAATGGGACACGTGAAGCCACTCGAGCTGGCTCTGTCCATCTCCAGAGAGATGCTTCAGGGCACTGAGGTCTGTTGAATCATACATGTATGGCACAAAAACTGCCCAAGGAAGTGGTGCACATTAGGAAAGCCCATGAGCAGGACAGATCAATTCTCCTCTCAGCATCTTTGCACACCAAAGCTTTCACAGCCTGCTGGTCATGCCTGTGCTGCAGCCAGTAATGAGACACCACTTTTTCAAGTAGACGTAGATGTTCAAGACAAGATGTAGAGGATTAGCGTATTAAGCCACAAGGTTTTAAATTAGGGGTACTTCTAGCATTAAATTGTAAATGTTAGCAGCATAACACCAAGCGGAGCAGAATTGCTTTCACCCCGTTGCTGCCAGCACAATCCTGTTAAGCACATTTGGTGCTGCTCAGCTAAAAGCGTTGGTGGTCTCATCGCCTGCAGACCACCACGTCCAGTCAGGAGGCGGCTGCGGCTCTGTGGAGCGGGGATGCAGCAAAGACTCAGCACAAACTCCCAATGGGAAGCATGGATTTTACAAGGTGGCAGGAAACACCGGGCTTCAGCTCACTCGGGTGAAGCAACAGAAGCTATTTATATCTTCATCCCCCATCCCGGGGAAAAGGACACAGCGGAGCTCAAGGGATATCACCGTGATGAAAGTCCTCGTGACCAGAAGAGCCGAGGCAAACTGTGACAAGGAAGTGTCAAAGGACTGCCAAAACTGTCCAAGCCATGAGATGAGGGAGCTCTCGCAGCACCCACAGAGCACCAGAGAAAGAACACCCAAAGAGCAAAGGTGGCCTCTGCTCAGTCCAGCTGGAAACCTTCCCAACGGTAAATTCCCATTCTGATTTCACAGGCGAAGCCAGGCTGGGCAGCATTGTTGCCAACAGAAGCAAAATGAGTGTTTCTCTTCCCTGAGTGAGAGCCACCAGGAAAAATACCCATGCAACCCCTGCCTCCAAGCTCCACTCACGGTAACGCCGCTGGGCCAGCTACTGTCCTGCACAGCCAGCATCAAGCAGCTCTCACGAACGCGCGCACTGGCAAGCACCTGCATATGCGTGTGACACAAACCACCTTTGGCTGGGAGAAAAAAAAAAAGAAACCCTCGGCAGATGTTTCTGGCCTAAAATCATTGCAACTGTGGCTGCAGAAAGCTTTTCTGAAAAGTTGCAGCCCGATCAGATAAACCCAGTGTGAAACCCTGCACACCTGAAAACACCCAGTGGAGTTCACTCAAGGGATATCTAACTGAAATGCAAAAGCCTCCGGTCGAGCTGATGAAAGTTAAGGGAATTGCGTAGCTGGCCAACAAAGGGAAGCGGCACTTGTCCCTGTGGGTTCCCAGGAGGTAATTCCCCCATGCCATGGAGTAAAACATCTGCAGAGAGGAGACAGACACCAGCAGGAGCCCCCAAGACAGAGAGGAGGAGGCTCAGCTCACATCCCAGATCCAAGAGCACGCTGACCGCAGTGGTCTGGCAGCAGCGACGCAGCATCTTTCATGCGCAGAGGTCTCCCCCCTGCTCTACCTTCCTCTCATTTATTTAAGGAGCACCTTCCCATGAAAACTCCTGTACAGCAGCACACACTAACAACTGCATCACCAGCCTGAATTTCTGCCACATGTATGTCCATTTGCCCCTTGGTCTGGGGACATCCCCAGGACTCGGCCACTGCAGCCTCCTCCAAAAGCCGCAGCAGGCCAAGCACACACAGAGCATTTTAGTGCGATGAATTAAATCAGCACAGCCACATCCAGGAGAGATTTTGTCAGCAAGCCTGTAAAGTTAGTTACTGCTGCCTGAAGCCCTTTGGAGCAAGTCTGCAACCATGCCAGCTTGCAGCAGCAGCTGTGTTTCAGAGCCCCGGGGGCTGTGTCTCAGCGCTGCCCACGGAGGCTGGGTGCACACTGGCTCAAGCGAAACGCTGCGTCCAGGTGGATGCTCTGACCGGCGCCGCGCCTGGCTGTCCAGGGCGCGAAGGACGCAGCGCCCGCTGGCCGGGGCGGCAGTGCCACGGGGCAGGACAACCTGTGGCCTGGCTCCGTTTCAGGGCAGCCCTGCAGGAATCGAGGGCAAAGCCAGCGGCACCAAAGGGTGACGAGGATGCCGGACCAGGACTGGGTTGCAGGGATGGAGTCAACCTCTGCGTCACGGAGATGGCTGGGCAAGAGGCTACGCACCTCGCGGACTGCAGACCTATGGGGCTGCTGGGCTCTGCCACTGCAGAGGCACAGCCACGGGGTGGCAGGACTCATCACTGGGGTGCTACGCAGCAGCTCGCTCAGGACTGGCTCCCGCAGCCCACCCCACAGGGCTGCCCCAGAGCAACTGCACGAGCTGGCAAGGCCCATCTTCCACCCTGCCTGATGGGCCTCGTCGCCTGTATCTTGGAGCAATCCAGAAATCATTGTCCCCTTGTCTAACAACGCCGCTGGGGAACGCAGCCTTGACGGTGAGGCCTTTGCTGCGGCGTGGCCCCGGGTGCAGCGCCCCAGGGCCCCAAGAAGGAGCAGTGCTGCCTCTGCAGGCTGCTGCTCCTTCAAGCATGCCCAGAGCCCGGGCACCTCCTCACTGAGCTAAAACGGCTCCGGGCAGGGGAGAGCAAGGGAACAGGAAAGGATCCATTCTCCTTTTTACCCAGAAGAGCCTAGATTACTGACCTCTTGAGACATAGCAGCTGATGCAAGGCCCTGAGTAATCCTAAAGCCCCCTCAAGCAAACGAGGAATTAAAAGCATGTGAGCAGGAACTGGGAGAGGACTTCATGTAAGGTTAAGGCTTGCTGGTTTGGAAAGCAAGCGCATCACGGCAAGGGGCTGCTGCAGCTCCCGCCCCAGCCCCGCTCCCCAGCCAGCCCATGGGAGCGTTATTCTGCAGGCTCGCTTCCAGGGACGCTGCAGCAAAGCCGGCCTTGGCTTGGCTCGGCCAGGCGCTCTGCATCCAAAACAGCAAAAAAATCAGAGGAGGCACAACTCATCTGCAGTGCCCAAGGCAGCAAAACCCACAGCATCCAGAGTGCACGCTTCCTCCCCAAAAGGCTATCGTCCTCTTCCCCTTCTCCTCTGCTAGCAAGAGACCTGCCCCAACTGTGGAGAGGGACAGCTGGCTTGCTAGACCCAAATGACCCAGATTCACAGAAGGACCAGAAGGAGTGAGCTGCAAAACCTGGCACAGCCAGATTCTCCAAGGAGCTCTTGCAGCAGAGGACGTGGCCGGCCTGTGTCTGCTCTGTATTCCTGGAGGCACTTCGTCCAGCATGGACGGACGGCTGGTGGCAGGGCAGGTGATGGGAGGTGGCAGTCAGGTCCGTTCCTCAATTTGACATGCAAGACTGGTGGGACACCAAGTGACGCGGCACCCTGCAGGAGCCAGGCTCCAACCAGCAGCTTCATCCCATGCCCCAAACCCAATGAATGCTCCATCGAGAGCAAATAGATAAAATAAAATCAACGCCTTGACCCCATCGGTTTCGCTCTCAACGCAGAGATGACCTCAAACACTCCCACAGCTGAGCAGGAGCACTCACAGCTGCTCTGGCTCCCTCCGCGGAGCCGGCATTCCCTGGAGACATACTCAATTTGCCCAGTGCCAGGGCAGGAGCTGCATGTATCTACACCCCAGCTCCACACCGAACCAGACAGAGAACTTGGCCACACGCTGCAAAACGTTTTTTTCCCTGTCCCTTTGCTTTAACAGCCAGCAAACACCTCACACTCCCAAGGAAGACGCTGCCTTTTCCCACCGCAGCATCCACACGGGGAGTCAGCTCCTCCCTGCCTCCCTACACTTCCAGGACCCTTTGTAGCACCCAAGGGGCCCTGGGCACCTTGCAGCACCCAGGCAGGCAGCTTTCCTGCAGGGAGGAGGCCAGGGACAAGGCTGGGATAGAGACGGGAGGCCCGGCCCCTCCAGCCGCAGAAGGTGGACCAGGAAGGCACCAGCATGGGTGCCCCAGCACCAGCACTCACCTCAGGCCAGCTCCCTGGGGCGCTCAGTGGCTGGAGGCCGAGTCTGGCCCCAGGCTACAACCCTTCAGCCTCATACGGACAGAGCAGGATTGAGAGACGCTTTCACCACTTTCCATCAAGCAAACGCTTTTGGCTGCATCAGCTTGTTAATGAACCTCAGCAAAGCAAGGTGGTAACAAAAGCTTTCTACCAGCTGGGAACGTCACCCGTGACTCCCCCTGCCGCCCCATCCCCACCACTACCTTTGTGCTGCTGCCACTGCCACTGCCACTGCTCAGACCATCAGGGAAAGAAAGCCTCTACAGCCAACTCATAAGCAACACAGGCTATTCCTCTTCCAAAGGAAGGTTTGGCAGAGCTAATGCATCCTGGAAGTGTATTGCTCTGCAGCACTGGCTCCCAGCTCCTTAGGCCAGTGCAAGGCAAGGAGAACACATGCAGAGCATCACTTTGAAGCTACCTGCACATCCCTCAGGAGCACGCTTAGCTCCTGGCAACCCCAAGTGAAACCAGCAACTCAGGCCACGTCCAGGAAGACCACTTGGCTCCTTGCAAGCAGCCCTTGAAGGAGAAGAACATCAAAGCTCAGCAGAGGGGAACAAGGAGCTCACGCTCAGGTCCCACGTCCCAAAGGAGCGCAACGTGGGATGGACATGGGCAGCCTCAAGCACAGGATGCACATCCCCACCTTCCTCTCCCTGCAGGAGACGAGGAAGACATGGGCCACGGCAGGAGCCCGGTGCCCAAGGCACCCACAGGCAGCTTTTCAGAAAGAAGCATGAGCTGTGCTCCATCCCACGGCCAGGAAAGACACGGTCCTGGCCAGGTTTCAGTAACACATTCCTGCATATAAGGACAAAAAACTATCAAACACACCCTATCTTAAGGAGCGATTTAAACATCATTGTCCATGGGCAGCAATCCCCTCTGTTACCGAGTCCTTCAGAGCTGGGGAACGGCTTTGACGCTGGGGCTTTGCGCTGGAGCAGAGGGCGGCTGACCCTAGGTTTGAGTCCCAGCTCGTTTTTGCGGAGTTGCGCACCACCCGGTCTCTGGTCCCTCCCCACCTATGACTGTCACCAGAGCACGCAGGCGGCTGCAGAGCGAGGGAAGCAGGCAAGGTTCCCCCCTGAGGCTACGAGTGAGCGTGGGGCTCCACACAGACCTCCCATTCACAGCTCGAGCAGGCCATGTGTTTCCTTGCACAGCTCATTACAAACACGATCCTGTAGAGGTGGATTTTTGGCATGCCAGAACGGGGAACACCACCGGGGTCAGCTCTTCCTCTCCTCTTGGACGCAAACGCGGAGCCAGCGTGCTCATTCGCACCAGCTGAAGCCGTACAAGAAAGCAAGAAAAGCCACAGATGTTTAATAACACGAGCAACCCC